CAGCTAGAATTTTAAAGTGAGTCTTATTTAAAATCAGAGTGTATCCAAAGCTGCTTATTTGATTCTGTACTTCAAAGAAGTCTGAAAGTACAAATCCCAATCTGCTACTCATATTCCAAAGAATGACTAGGGAGAATTAGTTTCGGCAGAAATTTTGTAAGCCATAGTTAAGAAAGACTCTAAATAAACGAATGAACAGTTAATTCTAAAAATAGAGGGGGACAAATAATATGAAGTAAATAAACACTTCGAACTGATACAAAGCAAATTAACCTTTATTACTTAATTACTCTATAAGGGCATAAAAATATAATCATAATTACGATGAACTGCACTCTAAATAATAACTGAAAGCGATGAAAATACCGAGATGTGCGAGATGCTTTACAGGAAAACGGAAACCGGCGTTACGAAGTGGCGTTTTCAGTTTACCTGCATAACACATTATAAAGAGTAAAAGCATGTTGATGCAATAATAGCAGAGTTTGTGAATGCCGAAACTGTGAATGCGGGCTTTATTCAGTTGTAAAATCTAATGTGCAATTTCGACCACTCTTTTGAGGGCTATTTCGAGGCAAGTGGTTTGCCGGCAAAGACCCCAACCATGATCAAAGAATATGGTTTCAAAATCGGTAGATATTTCTACCATAAAAATGATCGTGTTAAAATGCATGAAGCTCTTCCTTGCAATGACGAGATTGCTAGAGACCCAAACTCCCGAATAACCGAAGACGGATTCTTACGGATGCGAATTAACCGGTCCTTGTCTAAAAAAAAAAAAAAAAAGACCAAATTTGTTTACATATGGAATGACGAAGAACTGCTATTACAAACATTAGACTAAAGCAAATTTCTAAGGTATATACAAAAGGTTAAAATGGGTCTGACAGTAGCAGTGATAGCACACGATGCCGTACTATTTAAAAATTGTTTTAATTCGTAACAGAGCATAATTTAACTATCCATTATCTGGACTATATAAATATTTTAAATCATACATACGTTAAAAATAAATTAAATGTACAGCCAAAATGCTGTCGGATGAACGATTATTCTGTATTTAGGTTGTCTGTTTGGTCGTTCCTGGTATTGACTCGGTTAAACGCGATCTATAGTAATTTCGTTGCTGTAACATTCAGAGAGTTCGATTTTCGCAATAAATAAACATGTTACAGCTGTTTGACTGAAACCGGTGCCTAGTATGCATTCAACCAAATAAAGCATCATAAATTAACCCCACAAATACACAATAGCTCAGTTGTTTGCCCTGTCTTCCACTCATGAACTAGAAAAAGTAATGAATCTGAAGAAAATATTTCATATATGAATATAAAACGCGGTGCCATATCCTATTGTCATTTCAAAGCATACAGTCAATGTATGTTCCCTATAACTTCCGCTTTATAAATCAGACCTAAATAGAAAAATTTCCAAATTTTGTCTCTACTGCAGGAAATATTTCGCACCATAAATATACATGACTTCTTTTACCAAGCTCTCGAAGACAGTAAAATCGGTGAAATGTCATTTTCTGCAAAGTCCGACGCTTCCTTAGATGACTCTTGCTGACATTTTACGAACGGAAGTGGTTCTTCTCACCATCTGTGATGAGATTGCGCAAGATTAGGATTTGCAAAACTGTGAACTATTTGCTCAATGACCTGGAGAATGGAATCAGCTGTCGGAGACTAAACACATTATAGATCACAGAGTACAATGCGCCTTAATTTAACATACTTAAATGTTGATGTGGCGAAGTTTTTATTTGATTTAAACTACCTGATTATGCTAGATATGCAGTAATTATTCCAGTAATCGATAAGATGTTTTGACAATCGATTAATTTTTAGGGATATTGATTTCTGATTTTTAGTCAAATTATTTATTTTATACTTGATGGAATTTATATACATATCTTTGCATTTAACAAATGACTTATACATGAAATATATGAAAGGAATTTTTTATTTAAATTAAATATTTAAAATGTGTAATAATAGCTCTAGCTTGTAGCTATTGTTCACATATTCATATTTATTGCATGATTAAGTCATTATTTTGTTTTTACCAAAGCTTCTAAGGCACTTAAATGAAATCTCAGAGGATCAATACGCCTTCCTAAAATACTTTCTAAAAATAAGTAATCAGTGATCTTGTAAGTGGCGAAATCATGGAATGTCCACAATATTAAGACACATGTACGCCGGTGCAAAAACCTTCATCCAATACGCTACATGAACTACTGCGTGCGTACAGGTTCGTAACGGATTGAATACACACAGAACCGATGAGAGTTTCATAAACATTTATTTTCCCAAAATAAACAGATTTCAGTTCTGGAACTTTTCGTAAAAGTGCTAGTACAGTTGTTCTCAGTATCACACAGCAAAAGCAGTAGTTCCACTTCAAACTACTAATAATATAATAAACACAACGCAATGCAAAGTTCATCTAAAAGGCGAAGCCCGCACGGAGATTTCTCAATACTGCGAATTCAACTCTGGACGCCTATTCTATGATCACTGGATCTGTCTACAACTTGAACGAACAATAATTGACTCAAAAAACCGGTATGGACAGCCATCACAACTTATCGGAGAAAGCCATTTTGTGGTCTCAGTTGGTGGGCGGGTGGGTCCATTTGACTTTACTGAAAGGAGACAAGGCTTCAAGGAGCTTTAGACCAATCGCAGTACAGACGAATGACAAAATTTATAGCGACTGATGAAGTTCTAGGAATATTTCCCATTATTTCACTAACTCACACACTGCATTTGTAGTTAAAAGAAAAAAAAAAAATTGCACAAAACAGTATTATGCAGAATTAAAAATTGCACAAAACAATATTATTAACACGCAGCAGAATATGCTGCTGTGTTATGTGAAGGAAAATCCCGTTTTTTAAGGGGAAAGTTAACGCAGGAATTTAGAGCTAAGAAATAAAGAGTAAAATGGGATACCACGAAAGCAATGGTAAATAGATAAGAGTATATGAATTAAGCTTACTTCAAATCGTTTTAGAAATAAACAATTTTAATAATTTAAATTTATAATATGATTAATTTGCATTACAATCTAATAGCAAACTAAGTTTTTTTTCTTCAAGTTTACATTAAAACTGTTTTTCCGCAATTTATTTTACAGTTAATATTGGAAAAATATGTCTTTAAATAAGAAATTAGAAATAAAATATTTCTTCCCTTTTTCTTTTTTTTTTATTTTCTTTTTCTATGAAAATTATTTCTTTCAGGAAAAGAATCAGCTGCAGTCAGCGCCCCTATAAACTATTTTATTTGTGTAATGCACCCTGTCCTTTTTTATGTATTCATGTATGCATGCTTGCTTGTATGAAGATATGTAAATAATTTAATAAAAATGATGCAGTTAAATTCGATGAATATGCATTTTAAGTAATTAACCGAATAATTAGTATTAAAAACTGGATGAATTTAGCATTTATTATTTATTGCAAAAATCACCTCTAGAAATAATAAGTAATATATTGCTTGTACAAAGTAAAGGAAGTATTTTAGTTACGAAAAATTTCGGTTATCATATTTCAACTTAAATATGATTTTGTCAGTTCCCGAATCCAAACTGGCGATTTTTTTTCGTGTCTTTGTACGTACGGACAGAATTAAGGACTCTTGTTTCTAAATCTGATCGTACAATGGATTTTAAATGGATTAAGTGGATTTTTGGGACGTTGACAGGTGCGTATGTAAGTATGTATGTATGGATATCTCATAACTCAAAATGACTAGTCGTAGAATGTTGAAATTTTGTATATCGGACTGTTATAAGATCTAGTTGTGCACCTCCTTTTTTACTACAATCGGCAGTACCAGACATGTATATATCCAACCCTTACCCGGCTAAAATCCCTTACCCAGCCTTTTTCCACAATTATTGGCTGTAGTCATATATTTCCATTTACAAAAGGCCCACCAGCGGCCGAGCGGTAAAGTCGCTGAACACTGGTAGTTCGGTCCGAGGTTCGAATCCCGCGAACGGGCTGGCTGCATGGGCGTTTTCGTGGTTTTCCCCATGTGTAACGTGTATACGAGCCAGTTACCTTAGAAAGTCCTCCACGAAGGCATCCCTCCCTTTAGGCAGATAGCCCTAGTGTGCTTTGCCATAATTAAATACATCACCACACCACCATTTACAAAAGTGTTTTAAAATGCCGAAAATGATCAGATTTTGTGAATGCAAATTTTTAAAAAATTAATATTTGATAACAAAATCTAACTACATATATAATAACAGTTTATATATGTAACAATAAATATCTAACAATATTTAATATCAGTTTGTTGTTGCTTAAAAAGCGTGTATAATTTAACAGTCAGTGGAAGTCATGAGGTGTCAACATGAATTTTTTATTTACTTCCTATAATAATTAGTTATTCACATTATTGCAATAAAAGTAATAATAATGCTGAATACTATTATTAGTATAGCAGTAGTTATTATCCGTTTTAAGAATAATTTTACTTTGGCTGAGGAGGGGCAAAAATGTTGAACGTGATGGTTTTATGTATGCAATATGTTCATGTTATTAAGTAAATTATAGCTAAACTTACTATATTACTCTTAGTACTACTGCCCTCTTAAAACATAGAATATCCTTTCTGAATTTTTGATGTTTGATGCTTTTCTGAATAATGTCAAAGTTTCCAAGGGACAGTATTGCGAACTTTGAGAAATATCGCTTTATATCTTCCTAGAACTTAGTTTTCTTTACATTAAATGCATTTAGTGCAGAATTTAAAGCTTTGTTGTTATTGTTCCAAATTTTCAAAGCTAATTGTAGGATACTCCTGATTGCACAGAAGTTATATTTTGCTTGTTTACCGCTACTTAGGACAAGCTTATTTGGAAAGCGTCCAGGTCCGAAAGTGAAGAAGAAATCCTTGAAGATTAAGCGTCCGCATCTGGTGTTTGTATCCGAAGTGCTGTCCGATTCTGACTCTTTATGAATTTCATCCAGATCTTCCTTACTTTTGCTTTACAAATTATTCTTCAGAGAGGTCGCTAAGCAAGTGAAGAGTTGGTGCGTTGCCACTGGATTAAGGCCAAATTCTCGTACGAATGCATTTTTTAGAAAGCGACTGTGAAACCGTGAGTGAAGGATGTGGCTTCTAGAGCTAGCTGTTTCCACAGGCAAGTGGATAAGTTTCTTCTTTGCATGGTAAATATTATGATAAAGGGATTAGAAGGCATGTATTTCATAAAAGAAAATAGTAATAATAATAGTATGTTTCTCTTTTAAATTGACTTAATTGCGTCATCTTACAGAAACTCGCAGTTTCATTTTATGTGTCCAGCCGAGGTTTCTAAGTTTATAAAAGTACTATTAGCAGTTTTTCTCGTCATGTATACTTAAAAATGCACAGTGGTTACTTTTGCTCATATTTAATAGTTGAAGAAGCTGGAAACATGTAAATGCTTTAGTTTACCTCGAGGCATAACGTGATTTACGTAATTTGAACAATAAAAGAGTTTACAAAATTTTGGAAAAAAAAACTGAACATGTTCAAATTTTAAAGATCGGCCAAAGGTGCTCTTTTGAAATTTATTTTAGTTTTTCAGAGTTTATCGATAGAGTTGGCCCAGGTGAAATAGCGAAACATTTTGTAGGATATTAGATGAATATGTATTTAGATTATATTAAGGATAATGTATATCTTTTGTATATTTAAAAAAGGAAAAATATATGTTATGTGATTCTAAAAACATTTTTAATATTTATAAATTAGGTTTACCTTAAATTAAGTGCTTTTATATTTAAATTAATCAGATACAAAAACGAAAAATAATATTAAAAATTACATCTATTACTTTCAAGTAGTCTAGTTTGTTAATTATTAACATACATATTAAATACGAAATAATAATATCTCATTTTTTCCGAATGGCAGCAGACTTGAATGAAAAGTGAAACAACGCAAAATCGTCTTTCGAGACTAATAGCTCTTTCCGGTTATCAATGTTCTTTTTAATTAAAACCTACAAAGTATATCATGCATGCAATCTTTTGTTTCAGATCGAAATTTGGGTAAAAATTATTATATATTGAACTACCATTGTTCCAGAAAATGGCGCCTCAGTAAATGAAATATTTCGTTTAAGCCTTTATAGATTTCGTTGTTTCATGTATTAAACTAGTTTAAAATATATTTTAGTTCTTAAAATCTTTTTAAGTAAGGATAATGAAATCATGTCAGCTTTCCTCTAAAATTTCGTGCTTTAGTATGTGCTTTCAAAAGAAATTTTTATTAGAATTTAATGCAAATTCCAACAATATGTTGGAATTTTATAGTAAAATGATATTATTCATCTGCTTATAAAAATATTAATTTTCTTTGTAATGGAACGAATTGTAATTATTTTTGAGAAACATTCATTTGTTACGGATATAACTATCTTAGATTTATTCAATTAACGCTGGAAATGGTTTTGTTATAGTTTGAACAATAAAATTTTCGACAATCTCATTCCAACAGTGAGCACTCATATATTTGTTTTAGACGATTAAAATTTCAATTATACACGAGAATGAAAAATGTGAAAAACACGAAACAGTATAAATTTAATGTAATTTAAATCAGATTCTAACAAAAAGCTCGACGTGAGAAATATTTTTCTGTTACCAAATTTGCCTTCGGAGATAATGATTTTCATAATCTTTAAAAAATGTTATTTGATTTATCTCAAGTATTTTGAAAGTATGTTCAAAAATGGATGATTACGCATTAAATTTAGATCACAATTTCGAAACCATTTTTCTGTCGTTTTCACTCTTTGAAGCATTTCATTCACACAATACAACTGTTTATCGAAGTCATTTTAAATTTGATACGTATTTGTTAGAAAGAAAACGAAAGTTTTGAATTTTTATTTATTAAAATATAAATTAAATGTTTTATTTTGTTCAACAGTTGAAAATAATGTATTATTCAATACAAACACTAATTAGGTTATGGAAAATGTTGTACTATGAGGCTGCGTCCAACGGTACTGGGGTTAGCACAAGCTTATATTTCCCACCACAAATGATCCGGATTCAAACTTGGACTATGGATGGATGATTGCGATCATAAGTTCTTTGTGGCATGGAGGCACTTAAAGCTCTATTAAATCAAAAATCCTTTGAAGAGGATGTGGTAAAGGAAAAAAGAAACCCTCAAATTTAAAAACTGTTGTGGTTTGGGTCAAATCAATGATAAAGAGTAGTTAAATAGTCTTCGAATGTTTTGCCTATATTAAATAATCGAATCTACTTTTTAAAAGGAGCAAATGTTTTTCATTATTTCTGACCATTAACTAAAAACCTGATAAGAATAAAGATGGATTTTTAAAGTTATATAATTAATCAATTTATACATTATAACTTTGACAATATTTTTTTTACAAAAGTTAAACTGTATTTAAATGAATTTTTAAGATTTATTATTCTTTATCAGTTATCAGATTTTGTCAAAAATTGTGTAAATATTTATTCACTCAAATAATTTGAAAGATTGCACTAAATTTAAAGTTATTTCATATTAAGAATAGAAAATTGGAAATTCATCGCAGGAAAAAATATAAATATATTTTATTTACAATTTAAACGTCATAGTGAAAAATTCTACGAAAAGTGCCATAGTTAGATAGCACCTTATGTACGTGTGTTTATGTGTGTCTATATATGCAGAAAAACAAGGAATTTTTTTTTTTTTTTTTTTTTTTTTTTTTTTTTTTTTTTATGGAAGAGAGATTTTAAATGATTTCAATGTTCCTCCTCCTGACGAAGTGCCACTGAAGTTGACTGAATTCCTCTTCGTTTATATTCTTTAAAGTTCATAATTTTTTTTGAATTAGGGTTTTACTTCTTTAAAGCATTTTAGTTTTAACATTTATTAAATTCCTTTATACGTTTACAGTATTTTTTTTTTAAATTTATTACTTATGAATTTCAGTTTTTGGTCTTTGCGTAAAATTGGCTCTAAATTTCTTACTTTATATCTTTACTGATAATTTTTGAGCAGCGTAAAGCAGGAAAATGCTAGGCATGATTATATTATGTTATTTAAACAATTGTGCTGTAATAATGATATACATGTATACTTATCCTCACATTTGCGTGTTACCAGTAGACACAGCATATCTGCATAATTACAACACAGCTTCGGGTAATAGGTTTGTGTAACTAGATATAATTTACAGCTTTTCAGAATTTTTTAAGTACAATTTATCCCGAGTACATTTAATAACTGTTAATATTAAATAAACGTCTTATGAAGTTATGGGCTTACATTTAGCCATTCTGCATTACCAAGAAACTACTTCTTTTCGGCTATAGTAAATTAATAATGTATAATTATCGTTTGAACTTATTGATTTGTATTTATCATGGCGAGAATATATGATTAAGTTTATCGAATGTGTGCTTAATATTTAATGAAAAGATCTAATTAAAATTTAATTCGGAAATTGTTAAAGAGCGATGATCAAATGTACTTTAACCGGCGTTCTCGATTTATGTATAACGAAAATAATCAGATTCGTTTCTAAAAGCAAATTTAATTTAGTAGTTTCAATTACTTTCGGAGTCAGTAAATTTACTTGTGAGTCAAAAATGCATTTATTCTGTACTTTTGTTATTAAATTCGAATTTTAATAATGTAATTTCTACTCTTCACTTCTTTCCAACAAATTGTAAATTCTATGAAATTAAGAGGAAAAAGTTGATTTTGTACCGAAAATGTACCAAATTAATGCTTTTGAATGCTTAATGTCCATAGTAAAAGCAAACTATCGTTTAGACTTAATTCGTGAATTAATTCTGCGGAAAATGTATGTGAAAAACTTCATTAATTCCATTAACTGCTTATACGCTTTAAAATGAAAACAATTATTAAGCATCTTGATTTTCTTCATAAAAATAAATAAAAATAAATTCCTCTTCAATTGACTTTGAAGGATAAATATACAATCGTTTACGTTCTAGAGGAATGCTAACTATATAATTCTATAAAAAATTAATTTTGTCTTCTGGTTTAATGCAAGATCCACTCTTTCGTAACGAGTAAGTTAAATTTAACTCTTTGTTTCTGGCTCGTTCACTAGAAATTGCACAGGTTGCGCTTGAGATGCATCTACACTAAGCTGGAGGTCTGCCAGCATTGTAGTTTTCAGACAAAACATCTTCGGAGGAGAAAGGAAAGACTATTTCGAATTAACCAAATGAAAATAAGACAAAGCGTTGCAAAACTCCTCCTTCATTTTGTGGAAAGCACAGTTTCATGACTTTTCGGTCAAAACACTCATACGTTTATAGTTGTATATTCCGCTTTCCAAGCCAAATTGAAAATATTAGAGGAAAAGGTTTTCTGTTAAAAATTATTTTAAGTGTCAAACTTTTATCTTTCAGTACGATTTTTTTAATTCAATTACTTTTATCTCAAGCAAATGATTTAGTTTTATAATGGTTAAAGGGTTATTTATCAGCAGTATACCATTACTAGTTACTATAAATTCCACAATATTTCGTTTCTTTATTCTATATTTTGCTGCTAATATTTTCTCATTGATAGCAGCTAAAGAATCATTTATGCACAATTTCGCGAACTGTCTCTGTTACAGTCTGGAAAGCTTATCATTTAAAAATTTACATAAATTAAAAATGAGTGTCTGAAATACCGCTAATACATGTATGTCTTATAAATCTGCAAATGATAGAGTTGTCCATTAAAAGTCAAGGAATGAGATCAGAGTGATAAGTTTGGATAAATGTTTCCTGCTCTAAATTTGAAAAAAAAGCTTTTCTTTGGAATGCAAATTGGTATCTTTTCTTTAATTGCAAAGGTGGTCATAAAATATAAATTTTACAATGCATAATCTTATAGCCAATCAACCGATTTATTTTGGATGTTGATAGAATTTTTTTTTATTATTACACCAGAAAGATTTTGTTTTGCTCACATTTATATTCCTCTTATTTTATGACTGACTTCTTATAAATATTGAAATACTCTGAAAAGTTTTACCTTGCGTAAAATTATGTACTTTGAATACAAAGTGGGTGATTGTATGCAATATAAATCTATCAGCAGAATCGTGATTTATGTCAATAGTTCTGAAAATATTAAATACTATCCCGCAATCCTGCCAGATGAGCGGGCTGCAGCCAAAGCAAATGCTATAAGTTATGTGTAACACCGAAAAGCTAATGTATAAAAATATTTCAATATGAGGGAAATCAGGTCATTCTCTCCAAGCAACGGCCAATTCGTAAATATTTTTTTTTTCTTTCTAAACAACAAAGTAAAAACTTTTGACATTTCAGTTTAATATGTATGACGTCATGATTTAAATTTCATATAATATAACAATTTTTTCTCAATATCAATAAAATAACTAGCATGATAGTAACATTCAGTTAAGTTGCTAACAGTAGCTATTTGCTTAAAATGCTGACATTAACGAAAACCTCTCGACATGCAATGACATCACATGTAATCACGTACTGTCTTCATCGTCAGAATATTACCTTATAATAATAATACGTTTAATGTTTGGCAATGCAATTTTTATTGCACATATTGTTAAACTTACAAATTTTTGATTAGCAAACTCTACGATTTGAAAGCGAGCAGTGGCAACACTTTTCGAATTAAGACCTATTTCTCTCCAACGCGCGAAATTGTTGCCATTCGAAAAAATGAGTGCAGAAATTGGTGTTTTTCATAATTTTTAATTAATATCTCGGCTGTTTAAAATCGTACGAAGATGCGAATAGTCGAAATGGCTTCCCACGAATACTTGGAATCCGCAGTTATACATGAAATGTTTTATTTTTATTTCATATTTTGTAAAATTTACAAATTTTTATTAATAAACTCAACTATTTGAAAGCGAGCAGAGCCAAAACTTTTCGAAATAAAGTAGATTATTATCTCTAACGTGCGAGACTGTTGCCACTCGGAAAAATGAAGACAAAAACTAGCGTTTTCAGAGTTTTTAATTAATATCTCGGCTGATTAAATCGTACGAAAATGAAAATGGTCTAATTGGGCTTCGAACGAATTTTTATAGTCCGAGGTACTTCTCTCGAAACTGAACTCCTCGCCGATCCGAAGGAGATAATGGCACAAACAAACGAACAGACACGCACAGATTTTAATAGTATAAATACTTGTATGTCTGCTAAAGTCCTCTGACAAGGAAAAAAATTGTAAATTGTATTTATTAAAAATTACAGTTTAAATTTGTCGAATATCCCTCTGAATCTGAATAAAAACACATAAAAAATTGATAAATAAAAAAATCAATGTCTGTTATGCACATGGTTGAAATTTTAATTCAAAAATAACATCGAAAACATAATAGTCATAGAGCTAATCCCAATTATCTTAAAGATGAAAATCTAATATTTTAATTATACAGAGGGTTACTATAGATAACAAATGTATTAATATGTAACAAAAAAATTTTAAACACGAGTAAATGAAAATTTGAACGTAATAGAAATTCTGTCTATGTTACTTTAGAGCAGAGTTTCTTAAACTGTTGGGTCACGACGGACTTAAAGTAGGAGGTCACCAAAAATTTAGCAATTATGGTATCTCTTTAACTTATTATAATAATTTTATAATTAGCAAATATTTTTACATAATGTGTCTGAAATAGATAAGACAATACATACAAATAAAAAGAGAACGTTTCGACACTTTTTAAAAAAAAATAGAAACGTTTATTTTATTTAAAGTCAATGACCAGTTGTATATTAGCGTGAAGAATATGATAGTTTCATTAACTCGTTTGTCAGATTTGCTTATAGGGGGTCCCCTAATATTTTTGTAAATATTAGGGATAATATTTTTGTAAATATTAGGGGATCCCCACACCAAAACGTTTAAGAAACCCTACTTTAGAGCACCATCTTAAGCTTTAAATAATATTTTAATAGTGTCATGTTCACTATTTTACGGTTTCAGAGCACCATAAAGAATATTGAAGAACAAGTACATTTAGGAATGAAAAGAAAAAAAAATCAATCAATAAAAACAGTGATAAAAATAATAACAGCAATACTTAGAAGACAAACATCTTATAATTTCTATGAAACATTGCGTTTAATTTTTTTATTCAAGAGGTTTATGTAGCATTCATCTCGGTATATGTTTACAAGAAATCTAAGTATTTTATTTCATTTTCTTTTTCACATCTTTATTCAGTGTTTTCATGGAATATTATTTTTCTTTATTTTTATTGTTCCTTAAAATGTTTGGTTTTCAAGCAAGAAGGAGCAATATACCAGAAAACAAGAAATACTTTGAAGGACTTAATTTCTTTAAAGAGAAACATAAATAAAACATTTAATTATCATTGCAGAACATACGAAGAAAATATTAATTAAATACGTCTATATGTAACAAAACTCGCCTTAATCTCCTAGTAATAAAAAGCATCTATAAGTAACAAGAGTCTCCGTAAAACTAGTACTAATAAGAATTAAAAGGATAAAATAAATTAATGATTATGAATATTAATTTTAATAACCTTCCAACGAAAGCAAAACAGCAGAATGACTTTATAAAAGATAATATTTACTATTTAATTGGGAATTGATTTGGAAACATGTGCACTATAGTATTCACAAAAACATAAAATAATTGTATATTTACATTTATAAGTAGCTACAAGCAAAATTTAACTGCTAAACATGTTAAATTATATTTTTAAAGATATCAAACCATTAAAATATACAATGCAAAATATCGAAATGACGCAGATAATATTCTGAAAAGTTCTTAGTTTTTACGCCAAATTTTTATAGAAAACATGAAGTGAATTAAAAGTATCAAAAGATAAAATATTTAATCAAATGCATTCATAAGTAATTAATTTAAATTTTGAGAATAACATGAATTATTAAGCTATTGCCACCTATTAATTTAAATTTGAAAATTATTTGAATTACTTACACAATTACGAATTCATCAATGAACGTTTCTAGGGTCTTCAAGCACAAATTTGGAAATCTATATTATACCAGGTATTTGTTTAATATATCTTTGAGTCCGCGTATGTGATTCAGTTAGTGTGACAAGGTTCGGTAAAACACAACGAAAAGCTTGTTACTCAGAACTTTAGAAACTCAACAAAACTTTTGTTGACCATAAGGTTAGACTTGCAATGATTTGCGCGGGTAAACTCTTGGAAGTTTTATTCTGCTAATGCAATGCAAATTGATTCTTCTGATTAGTTGTTACATGGAATGTCTTTCCAGGATCAAGATGTCTTGCAAACTTCCAGCCATGGTTTACTCTGCGCCAATCAAAGAAGAGACCATGGAATTAGATTTCGGAGAGTACAAGCCATCTTCCTCCTTACAAAGGAGAACCAAAGCTAAGAAGGACAGATTAGTTAAAGATTCATATTCTCTATGGAGTACACTTCCTGATATTATTCTCGAAGATATATTCTCAAGACTCACCATCAAAGAGCGCTATTATGCATCTCAGGTAAGTAGAAGGTGATTATGAATTAAACATTTTCGTTCATTAATATTCAGTATACTCTTTGTAACGGAAATCAGCTCATGGAGTACGAAATTTATACGATATTTAGCCGGGAATATGCGCTCAAACAAACGTATGATATACAACATTTACTTCCATTTATTTGAGAAGTTATCAGAAATTGTGTTCATGAATCCCTGACCGGAAAATATAAATGAAGATTCAGAATTTTGATATCTTGATAAGCACGTATCACTTGCGGGGACAAAGGCGCGGAAGGTAAAAACCTCTAAAAGGCTATCTAACTACCTATATATTAAAACATCACGGTGTTGCATCCGGAGATGTTAAACAAACTTAGAAAGGTGAATAATCTAGTCGTTTATTTTCCTCTGAAGAATCGATAAGCAACGGACTTGCAAAATTGGTACGAGTGAATGTGTGGATAAGCGAAAATGGTAATAGTAAACGCGTACTATTATGGAAATCAAAAAGTGAAATTATTAATTAATTAAACTGAACTTGGTAATTAAAATGATTTAATGAATCATTTATGAAGATTACTTCATAAATTAAATAATAATTATAATTATTATAATTATTATTTAATTTATGAAGTAATTTTTTAACATTTAAAACAAATGAAACAAGAGAATCATTGTTAATACCACCGGAAGAACCTGACATTTCAAGGGGAATTAAGATCCCCATTTACAATCACCGACAGTTCATCAGGATCGAGTTTTGTGTTTTCGCATTTCGGAACAAAATGTCCATTCCAATTTTAAAATTTCTAATCAGTTTTATAAAATCAGACTTCAAATCTTAAATAAGTTCATAAACGTGAAAAAGCTCCGATGATAGCTAATTAATTACAATTCATTTCGAAAATAAATAAAAATAAATATAGTATTTATACAGAACAATAAACTTAACATAAGAATAAAGGAATGTATATATATATATACGGAGAAATGAAATCCTCTTGATTACTATATATGGGGATTCCAATTCCCCTTGATAAGACGGGATTCTTCTGTTGAATCAACAATGATTCTTTTGTTTTATCTGTTTCAATTATTTAAATTTACTTCTTTTATTAAGCAGTTTAAATACCATTTCCAGTTTAATTAACTACAAATTCCAATCTTTAATTTCCACAAAAGTAGACATTACATATATGTATAAATGAAATAATTTTGATATTGAAGACATGTATAAAGTAGTTGCTCTCATAAACGATTTAATATTGTTCTTGATTTAATATTGATTCTTTGTGATGACAAAATTTTTTTAAGCAGAAACAGATAATTTGGTGCAGCAGAGATTCTTATTTCTGAAGAACTAACTAACTACATCAATATACTATTCACAATTTTTAAATACGTTTGAAGAAAGAAGAGGCAGGCTGCAAGGAAGTTGACAGCACAGAAGCTATAGAGAAAATATTTCTAAGATGAAATCCCTTTCCAAAAACATTTAACTTTGTTTAATTTCATTTTTATTTGTTAATATTAAGTTTTGATTCCAAATGTGAAATCATTATTGATTGAAGCATTATGTAATTGCCTACGACATTAGTGTTTTGCAAGGCTCATAAAACATAAGTTAATTTTGAAATGATGTAGTTTAGAGCAATTACTTGTAAGCAGTCGCTACTTTTAGCACAGAAAGAATAAATAATCAAATTAAAATACGTAGTTAAGGGATTATTGCAAATTAAATTTAGAATTTTGATTTATTTTTTTATATTTCACATACATATGTTCAGATGGAAACATTATATTTATTTGATTTCTTTGAGAGTATATTTTTTCAATATATTTATTCTTGTAGCACAAAGTTTATTTATTTAATCCTGACATTCTTTAGAGAATAACTCGCTGATGTATACAATTAAATAATAAAGTATAACTGAAATTAATCTACACAGGTAACGTTGATTAATTCACTAAAAATAAATTATGTGCATTTTTAGTAATAAATCACTCTTTAATGAAATCAAATTATTTTACACATATGTTGGATCTTCAAATTTGGATTTGGCATGTATTTCGAGAAATGCTAATACATTGTATATTACATTACTTCAACTAAACAGACTGTATTTTCTACAGCTAATATTAAACTTAGGTTTTTTTGGGGGTCGATTTTGCTTCGTTAATAGCAATAAATAGTTAGTTTAGTTACAAAAAAAAAAAACTTTAATATGTAAGGATATTATGTTAGTTAAACATTTATTCTAATTTAAACCTTTACTGTAACTTCTTCTTTCCGTAGTATTCACCAGAATACAATTTAATTGCTAGAGTATTAAGTCGAGGGTTTGGTATATTTTAGTTATGCAGCTTTTGGCTGCTTCGCTAGTAGTTTACATCCTATTGCCAACTCTGCAGAGATTATTCCGAATTTAGCCATTTTTTCCAGCCAAAATTAAAAACGAGCCATTTAAAATAAATGAGCCACTTTAAGTAACGTTATTCAATTCCAACTTCTGTTATTTTAAATATTCACAAGTTGCGGAGTTTTGTTTATAAGCACAGATGGTGCTTGCTATTGAATTTAAAGATTTAATGGAAAGGTAATATTAACCTTCAAAGGACTTAATCATCTTAATTTAGACTGGAATGATAAATTTCTTGACAGTTTAGTTAGCTGTGAGAGACATTGATTTAAAATTCTACTCAAGTAAAACCCAACAAATATTAATGCACTACTGTTTACATTATTGTTTCAGTGTTATTACCTATTTATCCATAAAGTAGTTTTAATATTTTCATTATAAAATATAAATTATTGCAGGTATTAATTGTATTTATACATAAAATTACGATTAATATAAGCATAATGAAAAGTATGGTATTATGGAAGTTATGCTATAATTTAGTACAGCTAACTTTGTTGAATATAGAAGTACAGAGATATAATTAATTTAAGCGTATGTACCTCTTTCTATCAGGTAGAAAAATATCTGGGCACGGCTTTGCTGAACACGAATTTACATGTTAACGATTCATATTCACATAACTGCAAACAACTTTAATAGGTATGTGAAAGTTTTATTTAATTGTAAATCAAAAAAGATAACTGTAATTTTAGGTGAAGAAACAAATAAATTCATATAGCTCATAATGCTCGGAAATATCGCTGTTACCCAATCTTTCGTAACAGAAACGTGGAACTCTCTCTCGTCTCTGGGGATATCAACAAGATAAATTGGAAAAATATTTAAAAACAAATACTTAAAATAACCAGGTGTAGTTTTTTTAAAAGTTATTCAATTAATTCAATCTTTTTGCTACGCATAGACAAACTCCCAATAAACTTCAAAGAAATTAATTCAGCAGGGAAAAACAAGGCTCCGTCGCAGAAAGTTTATTATCCTATAGAAATTAAAGACTAATTTACTCTCATTTCAGTTTCCATAGCTAATTAGTTAACTGTGAACTATTAAACATGCTAGCTGGACTAGCCTACATGGGATATATTTTATGTATATAATACAACATATATACCTGAGAATGTAAAGTGTTTAATGTACAGAAAAGAACATCGAAGTATGAGTATCATGATTTTATATATATGACACTTTTGGAAACTGAAACAAAACACCTAGAAATGACATCAACTTGAAGGGAAATACGTAAAAACAAAAAATACCTGAAGTAAGTAAAATTATTTGTTTGTCTTATCCATGCTGACAACAATAAGCATTTTTCGAAAATCTATATTTTAATTAAAGAATTTAATGTCTGAATATAACACATAAACACGAAACTTAGAAGTTATATTTAGTTGCAACATCTTATAATATAGCACATTTAATAAGTATTTTCAATACTCATCACTGGAAGCTTATTATAACTGGCACTGCAACAGTAACAATAACTGCTTTATCATTAATTGTAATAATAAGCTACAGTACGCACGATTTTACATATTTCGCATCCTCAAATATATTTGAATATTTATCCTCATTACATCGATTTTGAACAGTGATCTGAACACACAGATGTGAAATTTCCATCATGTGTATGGTGTCGATGTTTAAAAATGATTCTAGAGTTTCTAAGAAACACCATCTGAGATTATCTGTCAGTCAAAATATATGCAATGCACTGCTGTATCTTCGAATTTATCGGCAGTTTATTATAATACCAGATTATTGCCTTGGCCATGATGACCATGAAATTACGTTACATTTTAAAATATCTAAGAATTATCCTGTACTTTTTTTTTAGCCCTGAAGGGGCTATTTGTCTCACAGTGGGATTTTACGTCGGTTCATTACAAGTAGGTTAAAATAAATGGAGTGAGCCTTTTCGTATGTACCGCGCAATGAAAATGAAGCCACATAATGTCACGGTATGATGTCAAGACTTATCATGACAGCTGCCACAAGCGGACTTCCTACTGGTTTTGTTTAAATTCTAATCGCTGCTGTCTACCTGTTAGCTACTCATAACTTAACAGTTATATATGTCTCATAACTTAAAGTTATATATGTCTAACTTAAAGTTAAATATGTATAATTTTGACACTAAATGTTCTCTGTTTAGTGTTTGACGTATTTTTTTCAGATACCACTAATTGTTTTGATGTTTCAAATTCGGTTACCTTTCTCAATTTCAAATAATAATCCCAACTTGTAATTAATCTAGACGCGAATTGTACATTCCTTGAGTCTTCTTAATTAATATGTTTTAAACAAATTTTGGAAGACGGTTCTAATTCTTTTAGCACTTTGCATTGACCTTTTAATAATCTCCCATTTTGTAGTCTTTAATGCATGTATTAGCATTTGTTGCTTTTCTCCTAACAAATTAATTTAGAAGAATTTCCGATTTAAATTTCTCTGGAACATTTTTAGAAATTAACGCTCTTTCTAAAGATGAAAAGAAATAACCCCAACCTTCCTATCTATTTGGAATTTTAGTTGTTGAAATCCGTATACTTTTAATAAGATTGTCTAGAGCTTCTGCACTGTCCTTTCTCCACGAGGC